TTGACCGGACCGGGCGCGGACATGGACGCGTCGGTCGGCGAAAGCGTAGCGCTGCAAGTCAGCTGTTGTGACGTCATAGGTCTATTTACGTTAAAATTATCTATATGAATAAGAGTGTGATGTTTACGTTGGCAAACTGAGCAACGATTTTGAGATTTACAATATTTAACATTATGAAAGCCCAAACAATTGAGGCAAAAGTTACATTTTTTCACTAAAGAGTAGCGAGTTGGCGCATTTTTCGAGCGAAAATAACTGCATTTGAACAGGGCATGTTCAGGTTCCGTCTTACAAAGTTGACAATTCTTGCGTACAGCGGATGGAGTGTATGAGCCTTGCGAATTCGGTTGAGATTGGAAGTAATGTTGATTGGGTTTTACTCCAGAAGCTGTATTAGAAACAAACGACTGTGCCGGTTTCGAGTTTTTAGACTGCGATGCGAAATTCGTTTTATTATTAACGTACGGCTTATTCTGCGTAAAACATAAGCGTAAAGCATGGATTTTATTCTGTTCTTTTATAAAAGTCTTGAGATCATTAAACGTAGGCATTTTTACGTGCTTAATGGATTGTTCAAATAAATTTAGAGTGTCTTTGTCTAATTTACTGAGAGCAATATGAGTCAAAATGAAATCGGAAAGGTCATCAATCTGTAAACGTCGTAAGGCAGCTTCAGCTGAGCAATACTGTTCCAAAAATTCATCTAAAGATTGCGATTTGAAGTTTATTAACTGTTCCAAATACCTACATAGAGGCTTGTACTCTTATGTCTTGGTATTTTTCTAATAGGTTGTTCCAAATTATGTAATAGTTCTCACCAGTAGGTGGAATACCCGAGCAAATTGTAAGTGCTTTTCCGGAAAGTTTTCCTATAAGGTATTGAGCCTTTTCACCTGGAGACAAACCAGTGTTCTCATGAATAAGCGTTTTAAAATTTTGGTAGAAAACGGGCCACTTGGCAGGGGCTCCGTCGAAAGAGACTAGTTCTAAAGGCGGTAATTTTTTTACGAAATCCTGTTTGCGACGCTCTGTGTTGGCCTTTAGTTGTGCGTTGTTCCGTATTCTGAGGTTGTGCGATGGAGCTTTGCACCGAAAGGATGTTACAGTCAGTGCCGTAACTAGCCTTTTATGCGCCCGGTGCGAGCTTTCAAAACTGCGCCCTTGAAAAATGCTTGGTCTGGTCATTTCTGCGCCCCTCCAGGGTCTGCGCCCTGTGCCTGGGCACCGCTGGCACCGCCCTAGTTACGGCACTGGTTACAGTACAAATCGTCAAACGAGTTGAGTGCGGCAAATGTAGGTTTGAGTTCCTCATCATTTTTCATATAACACAAATTAAGTTCGTCAATAGTATCAAGAAAATCCGATCTTGTTTTTTCAATCGAATGCATGCGAGACATGAAAATTTGTTCAATCTGAGGGTCGGAGACCTTTAGGCTGAGGTCGTATAGTTCCTGAACCCTCTGAAAAAGCGCTTCTTTTTTAGCTTCAAGCAAATTAATTTTGCGTTTTACTCCCTCCATTGTATTGTAGGTAGGTGAGCAAACACACGCACGAGAGCTAGCGTTAAAAATGAGTTGAGTTGTGCGTATTTATTTATAATCCAGTAGGAAAATAAAATGCGTAGCGTATGTAAGCGAATTTGAAATTGAATTGAAATAAAATTTTAAAAGATTGAATTTAAAAAATACACGTGTTTACAAACAACGAGTTGACGTTTGAGCGAATAGTAATTTCTAGAATGTGTCAAATGTCAAACGAATCGAACTTTCCAGAAAGAATGTGTCAAACGAGCGAATTTTCTAGAATTTTCTAGAGAGTTGTCAAAATGACGGATGCGTGAAAATGTGTAGTTGTGATTTTCTGTAAGTGTAAAGGATAGGAAATGAACCATGCGGCTCGGTAGGACGAGAAAGGAGTTGTAGAAGATTGGGATAGGAATAGGATGGGATACCTTCGATTGAGCAGACTCCACAGGACGGTCCAAGCTTGGTTCTTCTTTCACTTTCACAAACACTTGAATTTTATTGAGATGAGTTTAGCGCGCGATTTGTGTTTATTTGAATTGGTTTATTTTGGATACTTATTTAGTAATTAACGCCCAGATAGGTAGGCGAAGCGGCGCGTTGCGATGCGAGAGCGAGACTGAAGGTGGGAGGGAGAGGATAGGAAAAGGACTGTCAGAATGAGTGATAGAATAGTGTGACATGAGTTTGAAATGTATGAGGTTTTAATGCTGGCGCGTACAGTTCCACTACTGAAGTTGGAACACAAAGAAGCAAGATTGGCGTTTGCAAGAAAGTATGGATATTAGGCTTTTGCTCAGTGGATAAATGTGCTGTTTTCTGATGAGATCAAGATAAATCTTATTTCATCCGATGACAGACAATACGTGCGACGACCTGTAAAGTCCGAAATGATACCAAAGTAAACGAAGAAGCAGGTGAAACATACAGGCGTCAATATAAAAATCTGGGGCTGTTTTTCTGGACATAGAGTGTAACATATAAAAACAACTGAAGTAAAACTTGAGCAATTCCAATACAAATAAATCTTGGAGAAAACGATGCTATCGTATGCTGAAGAAGTCTTACCAGTCTCATGAACATTTCAACACGATAACGACCCAAAACATACCGCGTACTCTGTTTAATCGTTCCTAGCGCAACAGTCAGTGACGGTACTAGATTGGCCCGAAAACAACTCAGACTTAAGCCCTATAGNGCGCAACAGTCAGTGACGGTACTAGATTGGCCCGAAAACAACTCAGACTTAAGCCCTATAGAGCTTATGGTATGAAACGAAGGAAAAAGTTGCAGCTCAACGTACTGGCACTAAAAATCAGCTTTTCGTGGCATTTAATGGTGTTTGGAATAATATTTCTTTAGAAACCTGTAATGATTTGATTGCATCCATGCCGCGCCGATGTCAAATGGTTATAACTAACAATACCAACCATATTGGTTATAAAAATACGTTTGATGATTTTGTTTTGTATTCTATATTTTTAATGAAAACTTTTTATGTAATAAACACTTAAATAATTTCCAATTTATTTACATTTACAGTGAAAGTGTTACGTGTCCCTAATTAGTTGTCCATCCCTAGGTCAATAAATGTGTAGGTGGAAATTATTTATTTATTTTAAAAATATCGATCGCAACTAGCTAGTTTCTTTTCTGGTCTTTAAATATTTAGAATACTAGCCAAATTACTTGTTATTAATAGGCACATGCTACAAAGCCTCGTAAAGATAATTTTTTTCGGACAGGAGGTCTTGTGTTTTAGTCATATAACGTCCCTAATTAGTTGACCACGACTGTATATATATATATATAGGTTATACATAATAATAAATGTTACTTACTTGGAAATTCGTCACGTTCCAGTTGTATAGCTGTTTTGTTACATCCATAATATGAATTGTAAATTAATTTAATATCTATTGAAAAATTGTCAATGGTTTTGTTTAAATCCGCAACATATATTTCCCATGATACTGATAGTTTACTTGTATTGGTTATTTTTCCAGTTGTTGAAGAAATGTAAGGTGATTCAGCTGTAATGTAAGAATGGGAACTATTATTATTTCTTTATTAATTTATATGTCCATGAAAATAAATATAAGTGGTTGTTTTCCCGCGGCAGAATTATTTACCTTTAGTACCTAGTACTATCGAATCGTGCGAGTTCGAATATTTGAAAAAAAAAAAAAAAGGTTTTTATCTAATCAAAAAAATATCATCAACGAACTCACTTGTACAAAAAGTGACGTATTTGGATACTACCTGCCTCACGAAATCAATATTTAAATTAAAAGAAGCTCTCGCACTAAGTAATACCATAATACCTACAGTACCTCTAGTACGAAAAACTTTCGAGTTCGTTTCGTTTGCGTATTCAAAGTGTCATCGAAAAATTTTGTATGAAAAATTAAACAGCGCCCCCTATATTATAGCCGCCCTAGGGGGCGCTGTTTAATTTTTCATACAAAATTTTTCGATGACACTTTGAATACGCAAACGAAACGAACTCGAAAGTTTTTCGTAATAGAGGTACAGCATAAACTGAATCGCACACGCTCCGTACAGGCAATTTTTTTATTTAAATTAAAAAAAAACTTCCTAAATCTATTGTACTAGTAAGATAGAATCATTTTACTGCGGGAAAACAACCACTAAAATTTTTTTTTATTTCTTACTTAATTTTTTTTTACAATGTAGGTTACAAAAAAAAACTTAATAAAAAAAAACTTAAAACTAGTTTATCCGCTGGCAGCGGAGCAGGGCGGCCCAAGCTACCGGTGGTCAGGGTCACAGGCTGAGGAACCTCCGGACAATGCGTGCCGTGCTGAGGATCACCGTATTTTGTATCTGACCCTTGAGTCAACCATCTAGCGAGAGCTTCTTTAGATGTTGGTCGAAGCTCTTCGTTATTTATTATTATTATTACACTCGACACTGTGGGGCACACCAACACTGGAAATCAGTGACGTGGGCTTCCTCATCGTGGGCCACGCCCACGACACGGCATATGCTGAGTGGATTCTCATTGCGATGGGCATCGCTGTTGCGACAAATACACCACTACATTTTTATCACCGAAAAATTTTTAACAGGTTATGTAGAAATGTGTGAAAAATATTAAGTAAAAAAACATTTTTTTTTTCATTAAGTTTTTTTTTATTTTTATTCTTTAGTCCATATTTTACGCGTCACAGCTAGGGCACTCCGAGTAGTTGTAGAAGAATAACAGTGCTGTTGGAACAATAAACCTTAATTGCGACGATGATCGATCGATCGTGTACAGAAATACGCGTGTGCTCAGCATGAAGCTACAGATAAAAATGGAGGGCAAAGTTGGGAACAAAACTTGAGTCAAATACCTACTTATATCTATCTCGCTCTCTGTGGCCCTACCTCTCTTTTTAGTGTGAACTGTAGTATTGCTATCTTCTTATTTAAATCTCCTTGTAAATTCTTCGAAATAGCCAATTCACTAACCAAATAAGAAGTTAAATAAATAAATAATTAATATTTGAAACTTAGATTACCTAGTTAAATAAAAAATCACAAAATTGTCGGCCATTTAGGCTTAATGTGTTGGCGAATCAGGGAATTACAATCCCAATTTCTGAGGTATCGGTAATGTGGCAACATCGGCCGAATCCGGCCCATCATGGCGGTTGTTTACTATGCAGTTGATTTCGTTTGAGATTTTTCAAGGGACCTTATCATTGTTTTGTCTGAAGAAATGGTGCAAAATTGTATAGTGCGTGGTTGCGGTAGTTCGTGTTGTCCTGGAAGTGATATAAAATTCCACGCGTAAGTGNGCTCACAGGCGCGTGGCCGCCCTGACTTATTTGTAGAGATGAGACGTATTTACTAGAACTAATCCACACACTAGGTATTTTACAGTACCTACTAGGCGGCATCTATTCCAATTTTTTAAATACTTGATCCACCTAGTATTTTATAAATTACACGATTTCCGACCCTATCGTCAAAGTAATAGAGGTTATTATTGCGTAATCCGTAGTCGTGTATTACGCGCACCTAGTATTTATCGCTAAGCTTATGTGCGAACGTAGAGATTCACTCCGTCTCTGTCTGACCAAACAAATTTGAGCGCGACGAAGCAAACGCACACACACGTAGTCAAACCATATTCATGTAAATAAGAAAAAATATGTAAATATTTTTATGAAATTGATATCTTTTAAATACGCCAACTTTTAAGTTGACAGTCCTAAGCCTGTTGAAGTATGAAGGGAGGAATTATTATTGAATTTCAAATTGCATTATTCATACTACGGTTGTATCTTTTCAAAAAAAAATGTATTTTAATTTAAGGTCATATTACGTGGATTAGTCCGCACTAGTCGCGTCAAGTATGCTAAATTACTACGTACTAGGTGGAATAGGTATTTGGATCGAGTATTAATAAATACTAGGAATACATAGGTGCACCTAGTATCTTTACCTAGTATAACTAACGTGACCATTTATTTTTTGTGCCAGAGCGGGACAACTGAGGAATAGTTCTAAAAAAAAAACCTGCGGAATTATTTAAATAAAACGAAACAAAGTTTTGGGAGTTTTACAAGTTTATAGAAGATTGAATAACACAAATCAAAGCACTAAACACAAAACAGTTATGTAGTGGGGTGACTTCTATCTAAGTCGTATTTTTGTATTTTTCGGCGGAACAAATTTGTTTTTTATTATCGTATTTTGTTTTTAGATAACTATGGAACTGCATGATTTATTTATACGTATTATATATTCGTAATCAACATAGCTTTCATTACTGCTACACTTAGCTGGGTTTTATCACTCGTCCACATTTTGTTCATTTGAGAAAAAACTCTTTCGATTGGTGCGTTACTTCCTGGCAGACACATAACGTACTCGATAAGTATGGAAAAGTTTGTTACATCAAGAGTTTTGGTACGAAAGTGCTGGAATAATCGAGCCAACGGTTTTCAGTAGAAACATTCTCGACATTCCAGCCAGAGATCTTTTCATCTGTTACAAAGTTAGAAATAAGTGCAAACTCGTCAAAGACTTTCGTATCTTGACCGCTGCTAATAAACTCTTGCGTGATCAGTAAATCCAGCACTTTTTGTACCTCTTCCCTGTGTCGCTCGCGCTATTGTTACATTTAAAAACGATAGATGCATTCTTAAAGCTAAAGCGGGACGTTTTTGCTCTTGCGGGGGACAGCGGGACAGACAGTCTGAAAGCGGGACAGTCCCGCTCAAAGCGGGACTTATGGTCACGTTAAGTATAACCCATCTCTACTGATTTGCAACTTGAAGTTGTCGCGCGCTGTAGGTAATTATCTCGGCCGGCATAGGCGAGTGATGGAAGCCTGGCTATAGTCTGGTCCGGGAGCACGTAGAAATTAAATTTGTCCAATGACCCCAAGCTACCCATCCTTATCGCTCGCGCGTAATTATGTTGCTGTCGCGCTTGCACACTCACTGCGGGCGCCCGTCCCACAGTCACGACAGCAATATAATTACGCGCGAGCAATAAGGATGGGTAGCTTGGGGTCATTGGACAAAATTCTACGTGCTCGCGGACCAGACTATAGGTACGTCCTTAAATCAGCGCGAGTTTCAGCAGAGGCCGCTAAGCACAAAAATAGAAATTATACTTACGTAACAGGTAAATTATATAGTCCGTTGCATTACCAAAGTTTATTAGGTTAAAATTAATTTTTATTTTATAATCTCTATCCTTGAAGCGCACTTTTTGGGCATCTGCGAAAAACAAAATTATTTGAAAACTAGCTGGCCCAAACTTCGTAACAATGGTAAACTCTATTAAAAAACTCTACTATAGGTACTAATATTTTAAATCTATACTACTAATATTATAAAGCTGCAGAGTTTGTTTGTTTGTTTACTTGACGCGCTAATCTTAGGAACTACTGAGGGTTGAGTGTGAGTTTTCATCAACGTCCTCACTAGTGAGCGCGTTAAAAATATGTATGAAAATTTTAGTTCTTGAACGTTTCTGCTAGGGGCGCTGTACAATCCGTCATACATTTAAACAGGGTTCCAAATTATCAAGATAATTACGCTTCATGATAATTATCGGATAATTATCAACAGTATAAGATATATTTAATTTTGTCTTATAGTTTCATAAAAAATCTAATGTTACATCGTTTCAAGTCAAGTTGAGCGCTGGACGCAGGCCGCTACCAATCGATCAACATGGAAAGCATTGGGGGAGGCCTATGTTCAGCAGTGGACGTCCTGTGGCTGAAATGATGATGATGATGATGATGAAGTCAAGTTATTTCTTGCGAATGTTGTGTATGATATTGATGATATCGACACATGATCCCAAAATCCTTGAGTTGAAATTCAAATAAAACTCCAATCTCAGAACGGATGCGATTTAATGTTTGTAAGAAAGGTATAAGTAGTTTGGAAAAAAACACAACGCTTGCGCGATCTAAAGACGTACAGCGCCATCTATTGGCAACCTTTTGAACTTAACTAATGTGGTGTACTTTTACAATTTGGTAATTATTTTTTATTACAAACATTATGTTTATTATTATTGTATGAATTTAATTATGTACTTGATTTATTTATTTGTTATTTAATAGATTGTTGCTTTAAGTTTTTGGTAGCTGATTGTAGTCAAGTTATCCACATTATCCATCGCTAGTCGCATAAAGCGTGGAAAATATAAAAATATGTTGACGCTAGATAACGATGATCGTTGTGTGGCTAAATAGATAGGTTTTACAACTATCTATGTTGATTAATGTGGAGAACCGAAACCGCAACTTCGGAAAAACACGTTCGATAACTTCGTTAATAGTTAAATAATTAAATAGTTCACTTTTACGAGCACATTTTTTTGTTATTATCAACCGATAATTATCCATATAAATATCCATGATAATTATCGTGATCATAACAGATGGATCATTGATAATTATCCTTTCGAACCCTGCATTTTAATGACCCTTTTTTACGCGCTCACTAGTGCCGACGTTTGCAGTGTGCAATTTTTTTGTTTAATCTTATTGGTTAAACAAAAAAATTGCTATAACAAAAGATAGGTAATAGTTTTTTTTAACGGATAAAAAACTACAAACAATTGGTTAGTTGTTTTAAGTATAATGCATGCAAAGCTGTGTGTTAAAATAAATTTTATTTTTATTTTTCACCAAATACAAATTGTTATTACAAATTAATGACAATATTTGTTGGCGCTGTTTAGGTGAACTGAAGCCTAAACTAGGATAATCCTGGGTTTCAGGACAAAGATAAATATTATAAACTTAAATAATCAATTTTTCGAGTTTTTTTTTTCTCATTTTAGATAATAAAGTAGGTTTATTAATAATTAATTCAATCGGATTTTGAAAGTTCTTTTGCACCTAGGTAATACTTAATCCATTCCAAAAACACTTTTCACTTACCGTCTACTCTGTAGTCTACATTATTGCTGTGTGCAGGTGCTACTTTGTTCGTAGGCTCATTTTTCTTTTCTTTTAAAATGAAAAATGGATTAAATTAAGCTTAGCGTAGGTTTTTTTATTTTTAACCAAATAACAAGTAGAATAAATACTACTTCACATAGGGTTGCCAGGCGTCCGGCTTTAGCCGGACATGTTTGGCTTTTTAGGGACTTGTCCGGCCAAATATTGCCTTGTCCGGCCTGTCTGGCTTTTGTTAGGCTTTTTATTTGGTTGCCGCGGCAGGCGAAAGTCGAGCCACAGAATCATATAAAGCGCACGCATCAGGATGTTGGATAGTATTATAGTAACCGATGATGATAGTACTCACTAATGAAGTAACACTAATTGCACCCCCCCCCGTCACATGTCCGGCTTTTAGGGTAAAATGTCCGGCCAAATGAAGCACAAAGTCCGGCTTTTGTGATTTTGGACCTGGCAACCCTAACTTCACAACAACACTTGCATTACTACAGCTCAAAAACAAGCAATACCTAGCTCCTAAACTTGATTCACAATGGATCAAGTCTGAAAATGGTTTTTATTTTTCAAACTGTTAGATTGAATTACCTGACCACAACCGTGAAACTTGACACAAAAACAGTTTGACTTGACCAATTGTGAACCACAGTCATTTGCTTACAGAAATCACACACACTGATACGAAAATAAAATCACTCACCTGTGGAAGTGAAACAAGAAAATACGCACATTGATAATAATATTTTGATCCAAAAAGCGGACACAATGATAAAAGAACTTAGCCGCATAATTTTATTAGAAAACATCTCAAATTTGTGCCATCACGGAAACTTTTGCACTATCCGTGGCATTTATGACATACATCGCACGCATCGGTACTCAAACTTGTTGAGCTGAAATTTTTACCTCAAGCCCGGTCGCCGAGCACGTAGAATTTGGTCTAATGACCCCAAGCTACCCATCCTTATCGTTCGCGCGTAATTATGTTGCTGTCGCGCTCGCACACTCACTGCGGCCGCTCGTAATCAGAAGCAAGTTACTAACAAAGGAGTAAGTAACTAGTTTTTACTAGTCTGAATTTGTTTTTTTTTTTTTCACCAAAGTCTAAAGGAGTTGTCCCAAAATGTATGGAGCCTAGGCCCACAACCTGTACACCTACCAAAAAGAAGGGCTTTTAAATGTACAACAGTTTCTAATTATTCAATTTCTTTTAAATAGCTTAGTTTATTCGCTTAAAACAAAAGATTGTTAAGAAAATAGCAATACTCAACCACAAAAACCATCATGGTGGACGAATGTCATTTTGATGACATCTGTCACTTTTGACATTAGGTCGTATCTTGGTGGAGAGTGACAGATGAAATCTGACAGCGACTGACGTTTAGTTAGTCTATGGTTCATCTTTTTTTTTTATCTGACGCCATACGCCATCTTGTGTATGCATTTGAGAATGATAATTCATGAATAGTTTTTGATTTTGAGCGGCTAAATTATATGCTAGATATAGTTATTTATATTTTTCCCTTAATCAGTAGATTTTTCTTGATTTTTGATATGGCGTACAACCTCCGGGCCGAAATTGGGACAACTCCTTTTAATATGCTGGGGGCACCCTCTTTAAACTTAAATATTTTGCAAACGGATCCCTAAATGGTAAAATAGTCTTAGAAACCCCTAAGCCATTTTAAAAGACCTATCCAATGATACCCCACTCGATGGGGTAGAAGATGAAAAACTAATCATCCCCACTTTACACATAAATGTAGGGGATTTATTTTCAAAATTTGATTATACTGTTTTGTCGGCGTGATTAATATACATAGGTACCTCCACAAAATTACAGCTCTCTAGTGCCAATAGTTTCTAAGCAAAACCTCGGACATACAGACAGACATATCGAAACTATTAGGGGTTCCAGGACTACGGAACCCTAAAAATGCCCTCAAAAACTTTCCCGTCAAAACTAATATTTTTGACTGAAACTAAAAAAAAAAACATTAGTTTTTTAAAGTTTTTGGTCATTATTTTTTATTTTTGTTTTTTTTAATGACACATAATATTATTGACTTACAAATACGATTTTTATTTATCTGTAAGACGGGCACATGAAATACAAACAATTTTTATGTAGGTTGTCACATAAAAAATAAATTTAAAAAATTATCCCCCCCCCCCCATTCCAAGGCGAGGAGGGTGGGCCCACAATCCCACATATGGGCGCATTTTTGTCGATAAAATTGACATCACAACATCGCCTTAAATTTTATCGCTAGCCTTATCCCAAACAGACTGTACCACCTGGCCCGTGGGCCACGGGCCAGGTGGTACGTGGCGACCCGGCCCAATCGCTATAAACGCGTATCCTACTATACTAATCCTACTAATATTATGCGTAACAGCGTCGTGTTCTGGTTTTATTTACCACTCCAGAGCATGACACGTCATGCTGAGCGGTGGCCAATTTTGGTTCTATCTTGTACAGTCGCGGAATGAAAAGGTTCGTCACCTTAGTGTCGGTTTTCGCTTGCACTAGGTACTGTAAGAAGCAAACCTGCCAACATAACCGTGCAAGAAACATTGCTTCTATAGCCTGACCAGGAACATAAAAACCCTCGCCATGTTGCGGAAAACTAATGGTACTAATTTCTTTTAATGGCAACAGTAACTGAAAACTTCATTGACATGTCACCTTGCATGTCAGTCTATTGCTGTCAAAGTGTAAACAAACTTTATTTTAAATGTGCGCAATTGGTTTTATGAATTAAATTGCTAAAATATTTTTATAGTCGTGAAAGAAAAGTGGTTCACAATGTGTTAAAGTATTTGTCGAAGAGAAATACTAAGGGTTCGGACAATATTTTCATTGAATAATGTTTCCGACAAAGGTTGTCAAATTGACTGACATGTTTATCGTATAGTACAGTCCACTATGAAAATTAGCTGTGGTTTGTTTCAACTACCTATTTTAACAAAATAATTTTACGAACGCGTGAGCAGCGTCACTCAAGCGAACGCAGTCGCGCCTCGCATTCGTCCAAGACAGTCTTGATAACGCGTACGTGAGCGGTGTCTATGTGTGCGTGGCTCGAGCGCGCTTAGTATGGAGTTTACCTTCTGTTATATTTTGTGACCGCCACGCGCCTGTGCAGCTGTGAGCACACGCGTATTTCTATACACGCTCGGTCGATCATCGTCACAATCAAGGTTTATTGTTCCAACAGTACCTACTGTTATCCTTCTTTAATGTAAAATCGTAGTATTTAGGAATAATAATTAACTGTACTAATTTGAATAATTAAAAAAAACTACACTTTTTAAATAATTTTGAAATACTTATGACAAAAAACGGTAGCAAAAAAATTATTTTAGCTAATATAAACATTAACTTACTTCACCGTGTTTTCCGACACTACACCTTTTAAAACTATTTGTCCAATTTCGAATTATTGCAACACTGAAGTTTATTAATTAATAGGTACTTTAGAGATGGTACGATTATACAAACACCACTAGATTAAAGATTACCAATCGTAAATACAATAAATGCTTCTTAAAATTAAGTTATTATTTATTTTACTTTGCTTATACAACCCTGACGCTTGAGCTGCGAGGTAGATTAATTTTGAACACAAAAAATTTGCGCTCTTGTGAGCGTAGTAGTAAGGTGCGATTTCGAATGCACCATGTGCGTTGGATATTTTGCATTATTATTATTACCGTTAAAATGTCGGCATCTGATCCTACACAAAGGAGTGCAATTTCTGTTGCTACTATTATGTATTCTGTGATATTATGTGCTCGCGATTCGTTGAAGGAATCAATTTGAAAACTGACGAACCTTTTCATTCCGTGACTGTACTTGTTTTTTGTTATCTGATTCTGTGTGTTATATTTTAAAATAAGTTGGAACCAAATAAATGTTTTTCTTTCTTTCTTTATTTCAAATGCGAAAGTTTGTGTGGATGTCTGAATGTCTGGATGTTTGTTACTCTTTCACGCAAAAATTACTGAACGGATTTTGTTGAAACTTTTCAGTATTATTATTTATAACCCAGATTAATATCAGGCTATAATTTATGACGATATGTGACAAACTAAATTTCGTTCGTTCGTAAATATTCATGCGGGGGAAGCCGTTACGCGCCATCTATCAACATCATTAGTAATTAATCGAGGTCCACTTTAGCGCTCGAATGTTTGAGAGCCACTGGTCAAAGTAACTAATAATATTTTATACCACAATTGAAGGAGGAAAATTAAAATTACTGTATCATTTTCCTATTGCACGATGTCCAACATTGAGATATTGGTCACAATTTTGTATTTGCTATCAAAATAGCAATATTAGATGTGTCGAATATTATGTTTACCTACTTATCAACTACTAGGTAAATAAATGCACATTGTATCACAAATGTTTAATTTTTTGGTACCAAATAAATGTTTTTTCTTTCTTTCTTTCTTTCTTTCAAATGCTGCTTCTTCGCTTGAACCGAGCGAGGTATGGTAGCGCGGTGAGCTAGGTAAAATCCACCAATATAAAAAAATCTCCGCTCCTCTACGTTACGTTAGCGAAATAATTTAAAAAATCTTACAAACAAAGACATGGGGCCAACAGGAAAAATGCGAGCGCTGTAGATTTCGCAGAAACACTCATGAAAAGTAAATCTTGAATTGAAACAGAGTATAATAAATTTTATTGATAATGTTGGCCGTTTGGTGTAGTGGTTCTAAGACGTACTACTATGCCGAGAGGTGCCGGGTTCGATTCTCGGCCGGGCAGAAATTGAAATGATGAATTTTAATGTTGTGACGGTTTTGGGCGTTACTATGTACTTACCTATTGTAAAAAGTACATAATGTAAATCCATAATTTATTATCCGTTAAGCTAGCACCAATTTCACAAGCATATTGATTGCTTACTTTGGGGCTAGATAGCGCTGTGTGAAATTGTCCAAAGTTATTTATTTATATTGTGCTATGTACTACTAACTTTAAATTAATGAATAAAATAAAACAATAATTCTTGAATGATTCTTCTTCTGCAAATTGAAAAAAAAGCTGTATGTGCAAATCACACGGAGCCACTCCATTAAAAAATAATAATAAGAACCTAGTATTTTTAATCACTGATACCAATTTCATGTGATACAAAAAGAACAGTGACAACGAAGTGAAAAATAATAGCATGGAAGCACTAATGTCGTGTTGTCAAAAAATTGCAAAATAGTGTTCCAGTCAGATTTTGCGAAATTTTGTTTTGAAAATTATTCGTTTCGGGCGATAACAATGAAATAAACATGAAAGAGGAACGTGTCACGGAATATTGAGGATTGCTCTGTGTTAGTACGAGCAGCGAATCGCTACCCTTTGAAGTTTAACTTGTTTATAATAGTCTCACCATGGATGGCACTTGGGTGTTAATTTTACTTGCTCTGGTGATGCTGGTAGGGTCCTATGTGGCTGGAAGTATCCCTCTGAATGTCAGCATGTCAGAGGTATGTATACGTGTCCAGTTTTATCATACTTTTCTAAACACTTAGGGTTTTGTGAACCACTAAGATAAACACCAAAACATATGTTTATGTACCAGGTATTTTTGATAGTAAACAGATTTTATATTTACTACATATTAAGTACATTCTATTATGTTGTAAGTTAGGGTTTACTTGTTTTTTTAGATCTTCTTTAATAAATAATCTTAAAAAAAAAAAATTTTTTTTTTGCCCTATTTTAACCTACATTTTGTCTATGTTTTCAATGTCAAGTGTTCAATAATATCTGTATCAATATATCCATTAATGCCCGTATTCACCAACAATGCCTGCTTAAGAGAAGCAGGAAATCGAACGCACAGCGTTGAATAGAGCTCTGTGATTGTTTCGTGTGTCACCCCGTGCGTCCACACGCGCACTGTGAGGCCTCATAATGTTTGTGAATAGGAACGATAGACCTCCCCAAATTGCCAGTGTGTCAAATCCTCTATTTGCCTCAGATTGTCTCTAGTAAATTTCCTCTCCAGAGGCTGGACTAGATTGCTACGTGAATTAGTGAAAACCGAGGGAGAGAATTTACTGGAATGCACAAACAAAAAAGCAAGACAAAACATCTGATTATGACCCAAGTCGATTGCAGATATAAAAAGGGGAAAAAAATTTACTAGAGGCAAACTGAGGCGTCATATTTCATGAGATGGAGACTAAATTGATGATGTCCGTTTTATTACAGGACAAACTTCAAAAGGTGACAGTATTCGGAGCCGGCCTGCTAGTGGGCACAGCATTGGCCGTGATCATCCCCGAAGGCGTTCGGTCACTGTTCAGCGAGCGATCGTTGCCTACGATAGTGACCAAAGACTACACAGCCGAACCGCCGGGCCACGATGATGATCTGCACTCCGTTATTGGGATATCTTTAGTGTTAGGTGGGTAAAGGCAAATTTTCAATAATAATAATAATAAGCCTTTTATTTCCGAAACATTTTTACATTTTACATTTGACGCTTTCTGAATTTAGGATAACACTTATATAGAACAAATGCTTCACTTAAAAAAACTTTCACAAAATGTCTAAGATTTCGGTGTGCCTATTGGCAAAGGCCTCCTCCAACTCCTTCCATTGCCTTCTGTCCTCCGCCTTTTCCTTCCGCCAATTTTCAATACAGGGTGTTAAGTAAATGGGTTTATAAGCCGACACTAAAGTCTGGTCCAATGACCGCAAGCTACCCGTACTTATCGCTGGCTCGTAATTGTATTGATGTCGCGACTGTGGGACGGGCGCCAGACTAGATTATAGCCCATGTTAACATGTGCATATAAATTGTATGGTGAAGTCAGAAAATTAATATCATTTTAATTATTTTAATTTTCATACAAATCTGATTTTATAAATTTTATTTTGCATGAAAATAAAATGATGATATCAAATTTCTGATTTCTTATTGGGCTAGTGTCGGCTTATAAACCCATTTACCTAACATGCTGTATATTTAAAACAAAGAGACACACAAACTTCATGCGACATAATTTCACTAACAACAACAAATGGATACAGTATAAATTAGTATCAATTTTTGACACTAAATTAAAACTTTAAACAGAATTTCAATGCTATGAGTAATTCTACAAAAAACTGTCAATACAGGTTATAAGTATTCTAGGAATAAAAGACATTAAACGAATATCTGAGTCATATCCATAACCCTTTGTTGTATTGTAATATGCCTTTTTTATAAATTTTCTTATTTATTTGTTGCAGGTTTTGTATTCATGTTGTTGGTCGACCAAATGTCCACGCGTTACAACGATTCATCAAATCCAGTCGAAAAGAATGTCACAGCTACAGTGGGGCTAGTTGTCCACGCAGCTGGTATGTGAAACAATACAGATTTTATACTATACTAGCGGCCGCCCACGACTTCGTACGCGTGGATCTCGTTTTACCCCCTTAGGGATTGAATTTTGCAAAATCCCGTCCAAGTGAGCACCTACGTTCTAAAAGGAACCCCCATGCAAAATTTGAGACTCCTAGTACCTGTATTTTCTGAGATTTTGTGATGAGTGAGTGAGTCAGTCAGTGACCTTCTGTTTTTATATAGATATGTCTTAACGGGTCTGGTAGAGTATGCCATACAGTATTAAGTTTGCCACTGTTGTACTATTAATTTTTGTGTAACATTTTAAATAAATAAATAAAAGTAACATTTAATTAATTCTTTAAAAAAAGATGGACGATATGAGAGTCCATGAAACTTGAAAATGTTTTATTAAAATGGAACGAAAATTCATGGGTATTAGCCAATTTGTATGCACGGATAAAAGTATAAAGTTATGACATTGTATTGTAAACTATGCAAGTCACACTGAATTTTTTCTATAATAGCACAGAATAATAATAAGTACGCGTCTTCCAGTGACTTGACCCACTTTTAGCTTGGTCCATGGGACAAGTTGCTGGTTTGAATTTTTAAATAGTTTTTCTTCCAGTGACTGGGCCGTGGACTGTGTAAGTGGGCCAAGTCACTGGAAGACTCGTATTATGTTACAGATAGTTTTCTTCGTGAAGTTATTTAAAAAATTGTTTACTCAATATCGTCAACAATATGCTTTTTAAAAGTTTTAATAAAAGCCTACTTGCAAAACCATAATCCTCCTTCTGGCACAGTCGGGTAAAAATTAAATGAGTTTATGATTGTTGTTCGCAGTTCGAGTAATTATATTGCTGTCGCGACTGTGCGACGGGCGGCCGCAGTGAGTGTGCGAGCGCGACAGCAATATAATTACGCGCGAGCCATAAGGATAGGTAGCTTGGGGTCATTGGACGAAATTCTACGTGCTCGGCGACCGGACTGTAGATGACAAAATTTCAATGCACATTCCAGCCACCTCCCGCGACCTTCACCAGATCGTCGGTCCACCTAGTGGGAAGCCTGCCCACGCTACGTGTTCCGGCTGTCGCGCTCCCACACTCACTGCGGGCGCCAGTCGCACAGTCGCGACAGCAATATAATTACGCGCGAGCGATAAGGATGGGTAGCTTGGGGTCATTGGACGAAATTCTACGTGCTCGGCGACCGGACTTTAGCCTATTGAGTTTTATGGTTGTTGTTCGCAGCCGACGGTATAGCTTTAGGCGCGGCCGCGACTACTTCTCACGCGGACGTCGAGTTGATAGTTTTTCTCGCCATCATGTTGCACAAAGCGCCCGCTGCCTTCGGGCTTGTCACTTTCTTACTGCACGCCGGGCTGGAGAGGTAAGTGCCCTTACAATCCAGTTTTATTTTATCGAGAAAACCAGCGTGTTTATTTATACAATTTTAACATACTACCCGTTCGCGCTAAGTATGCCGGTCCGTGGAATGCGCGTCCCCTCCTCCAACCGCTATTAAACGCAAATAATTGGTGATTAAATGCAATTGAGTGTTTTATTTTACGCAAATACACAATTTTTATCAAAAATCAATATAGTTTGCTAAAGTTATAGACACTTTCCTTCGTGTGACGTCATATCGCCAGCGGCAAACTTATCGCGAACGGTTAATACATTCATTTAACACAATATGGCCAATAACAGGTTTCCCTTAAACTAGTTTTTGTAGTGACGTATCGTAGATATCGCCAAAGATCTATAGTAAGACTAGCTTTTGCCCGCTGCTTCACCCACGTGAAATTTAGTTTGTCACAAATCGTCTTAAATTATAGCTTATGTTATTCTGGGTTATAAACAATAATACTGTAAAGTTTCATCAAAATCCGTTCGGTAGTTTTTGCGTGAAAGATTAACAAACATCCAGACATCCATACAAACTTTCGCATGAGCCCGCCGGGCCGCCGGCTTATGTCGGCAACTTTTTTTCGGCGGTCTAGTTGGCGGTTTCACTTATTACAAGTCGGAAAATTTGGTCGGCGGCATGTCGGCGGCTTGATATGAGAATAGATAATGCCGGAAATTGGCGTCTTTTTTTTCGCGCGGCCTTCGACCAAACCTTGTTTTTTGATTACAAAATAGTGTAATAAACCAAACTTACTATGACATGTATGTACCTCTAAACTCAGTCTGAACTGAGTTACGAGCATTAGAAGTTTGATGATTTTACATACTAGATTTGCTTTTTGCGCGCAAGTTTTGTAAGAAATTGCAACAAAATAGTGACATTTTATGTGTAAACAAACAATCCATTAAAGGCTCCAGACATCAGTATGGAGCAGAATCAGCACAATAAAAAATAGCGCAATATTTTGTTGCANTATGTGTAAACAAACAATCCATTAAAGGCTCCAGACATCAGTATGGAGCAGAATCAGCACAATAAAAAATAGCGCAATATTTTGTTGCAATTTCTTACAAAACTTGCGCGCAAAAAGCAAATCTACTTAGTATGTAAAATCATCAAACTTCTAATGCTCGTAACTCAGTTCAGACTGAGTGTAGAGGTATACATGCCATAGTAAGTTTGGTTTATTACACTATTTTGTAATCATAAAACAAAGTTTGGTCGATGGCCGAGCGAAAAAAAAAGACCCCACCTTCCATACAAAATCTGGCATTGCCATTATTTGGCAGTCAGCATACAAGCACGTCACTACAGGTCGAGCGTCGCCGGGCAACTGAGCGCAGTACCCAAGCCGCCAACATGTCGGCGGGTAACACGCGCGGGGCATGTTGCCGACATGATTCTTGTCATACAGGCCGCCGGGTGCCGCCGGGTTGTGTCGCCGGGCTTTGCCGGAGGCCCGGCGGGCTCAGTGCGTATTGCGCTTTATAATAAATAAAAATAAATATCCTTGGACATTTTACACTACGCTTCTAGTCCCAAACTAAGCAAAGCTTGTACTATGGGTACTAGACAACGGATATAAACATACTTCAATATATTTTTTTTTGTAAATACATACATATTATACATAGAAAACACCCAGTCCAATACAAACAAATATGTTCATGCACACAAATGTTTGTACTGTGCGGGTATCAAACCCGCAACCTTCGGAATAGTAGTCCGATTCGAACCACCACCAAACGGCCGATAAGTTTATGTTGTTCTCTTCAGGAACCGAATCCGCAAACACCTGCTGATATTCTCGTGCTCGGCGCCGCTATTGGCGCTGCTCACCTACTTCGGTATCGGCAACGAAAGCAAACAGACTCTCAGTGACTTCAACGCGACCGGTGAGAAGTTTCAGCTTAAAATAATAATAACTACTACGTACAGAAGGTTTACTTCGCGAAGGTATTTAAAAAAATGTATGCTCAATGTCATTAACAATATGGTGTAATTTAGCCTGTCTCAAGAGTCAAGCACCATTTTGTTGACAAACGTCAGTGATCGGCACTGCGCCGAAGCTATAGGGCTGACTTCGGTAAAATGATGTGACGTGAGGTGCCATCGCGTTTGTTTTGTATTCGATATAAACTCGCGGAGATGAACAGGCCTGGCTTAAGCCTATGCGCAGACCATCGATTTTTCGTCGGCCGATAGTTTAGTCGGGCAGTTGATCAGTATGGGCATGTATGGGAGTATGGGAGTGCGCACATTACACCGATTTGATTTGGCCGATTTTTCATACAATTTAAAATCGGGCACAACTATCGGCCAACTAAAAATCGGTGGTCTGCGCCTAGTCTTATTATGTAACGCCACCTGGAGGGAAAGTACTCTTAATACTGTAGACAGAAAAAAATACTCAAAGAAAACATTCTTTTATTTTTGAAAAGAAATAGAACTGCATTCAAAGATTTTTTTATTGTTTTTTTCGGTTTTGACACAGAACGTCATATTATAGATGACCTATGCTGAACTGTCCCACCAAACTCAATGACAGGAGGGCGCTACCATCGTTCAACTATATGGTTTCCGACATGGCAAAAATCGGAACCAGCGATCCGGTATTGACGGTGGCGCCCCCCTGTCAATGTCATGCATAGGACAGTTCAGTATTTTGGAACTATAGCAAAATTTGGTCACTTTCGCAGAATGTCACTTTCGCAAAAGTTCACTTTCGCAGAATGTCATTCGCAATTTTTATTCCTGTATATTTTTTGAACAGTGATAACATTTTGATGTGTAGTCCCTAAGTCGCCTCTTACGACACCCGCGGGAAGAGTAGGGGTTGGTGACAAATGTATGCTACTCTGTATTCCACTATAGTGGAGGAGGCTCATAACAATATGATAGTCCAACAGTGGACTGTAAAGGGCTGTTGATGATGATGAATAACATTTTGCGAATATGACATTCTGCGTCAAATCCTTCGTACCGCATTGTTCATCAGAAATGAATGAACGCGAAAATGAATTTTAATGGTGAAAAAATTTTTCAAATCGGTCCAGTAGTTTCGGAGTCTAATCAATACAAAGAAACAATCAAATCTTTCCTCTTTATAATATTAGAGCAGATAGGGCAGATAAGGTATCGTAAGATACTGATTGTGGATTAAATAATTTAGTTTTTATCTAATTTAAAAGGAATTTTATTGATTTGTAACATAATATTTCTGATTTGATCTGGTAAAGAAACACCGAGCGTAGCTTTTTCCATAGCACGCTGTGCAACTTTGAGCTTCTTTATGAGGCCTATAGTGAGAGGCCACATTTCGGAGCCGTTTGTCATCACTGCAAAAGATAGCAGGAAGGCGCTGGATGCAGGCCGCTGCCAACCGGGCGATGTGGAAGTCATTGGGGGAGGCCTATATTCAGCAGTGGACGTCCTAGTCCTATGGCTGAAATGATGATGATGATGTAACATAATATTTATCTATATTATTCGCCAGATGCGCAGTTAACTCGACCGCGTCGAAAATAAATTTTAATAGACTATTATAAAGGTAGCAGGAAGGCGCTGGACGCAGGCCGCTACCAACCGGGCAACATGGAAAGCATTGGGGGAGGCCTATGTTCAGCAGTGGACGTCCTATGACTGAGAAGACGATAATGAATAATATTATTACACTAATATACATACATATAAGGGGTCATCCATAAAGTACGTCACACGTAAAGAGGGGGGGAGGGGGTCGACAAAGTGTGACATGGTGTGACAAGGGGTGGGAGGGGTCCTAAGTTTCGTGACATCACATTTCAAAATCTAATATATGTAGAGGTACTAATCGCGTAATTTGAAATAGAAATTAAACTAAAAAATACCCCCACCACTTAAGCACAACTCCGTCGAAGTCGAAAACCAATGAAGCCATTTTAAAACAATAAAATCTTTTGTAGGAATTATTTCCGATTTAAAATCTAATTCTACTGGCCTATAATGCCGCCAAACGCACCGTACCTCGCGCGTTATTTTATTGTTTCTATTTGTTGCTATTTTTTTGTTAATTTAATAATTTTTCGATGTATAATTGCAAAACATGTGACGTCACACTAGGGAGGGGGGGGTCTCAGAAATGTGACCACCTGTGACAAGGACGGGGGAGGGGTCAAAAAATCATGAAATTCGTGTGACGTACTTTATGGATGGCCCCTAATATCAGTATAAATAATATAACACTTTTTTCCAGGTATCGCCATGCTATTTTCAGCAGGGACGTTTTTGTACGTGGCAACAGTTCACGTGTTGCCAGAACTCACACACTCACACTCGCACTCGCACACACACACGCTGCTGCCTGTCCAAGATGGCGGCCAACCGAAACGGGGCTTTGGCGGGCTACAGTTCTGCGAAATGATAATTCTGACTGTGGGGGCTTTGATGCCCCTGCTATTGACGATGGGTCATAAGCATTAGCGTACGATTTAAGTGTGAAACCCAAAGAAACCGCACGTTTAATAGTAAAGTGCGTTAACTCAAAAAATCAGTTTTTCAAGATTTCATAGTAAAGTGTGTTAACTAAAAATCGGTGTTGCGAATGTTAACTCAAAAACATCCGTTTTGCGAGTGTTAATTCAAAAAATCGTTTCAATAAACTCATTTTTTGAGTTAAGTTTTACTTGCCGGGATAGAATAAAAAATTGTTCTTAAAAAAATATTATAATTTTTTAAACTGTTTTATGTTTTGTCAGTTTTGACATTTCGTACTGTCAACATGTAAAAAAAGGGGTGAAATAGTTGGATTATTTTTGGTGAAAAATAAACTGGATGTTTTTTTAAGCAAATTATTTAATTATAATCTGGTTTCTGGGTTCGATTCGAAATGTTTTGTATTGTTTATTTATTTTCTTGTATTATTTTATTTTTTTCTTCGCCAAGGCCGACAATTTTTTACTTGATTTCTGATGCATTTTCTCATTAATTACCGGATGCAATTTATTAAACTGATTAGTGCCAATACTTACCGATGCGAAAGATATTTTATTAAAATTATCAAATTTACAATAAAAATATCTAGGTTGAAATGAAGTATGTTTCACAATTAAAATATACCGGATTGAAATATAGTATTTTGTGCATCTGTTCATGGGTTCATTTAATCCTTAGACAGACAGTATTAACAAAATCATTACCAAATCGTAAATTTTTAATGATAATGAGTTTTTGTTAAAAAAAATAGGTTTTTTACCAAAAAAATGTTATTTAAAATTAACTTATACTATAATATGTAGTTGCCAAACTGTCAAAAAAATTATGTCAAATAAAGAATTTTAATGAAGAAAACATAGTCATCGTATGCTTGTGATCGAAAAAAGTCACTGCGTTCGAAAATAAATTGGATATGACTCGATTTTTTGTATATTTTCACGTTTTTCTTTACTTTTATATGAATTCATTGATTGATTTTCATAGACAATTTTATAAGTTAAAAAATATGTGCTTAATTAAAAACTTCAATATGAAATATCCTTTTTATACATATAAAGTACATGCTGTGTGTATATTTTTATATTATACGTGTAGATTTTTGTAATGTAGTTAAAAATAAAAGTAATAATAATAGAACAATATTTATGGAAATGTTAAAAAAACGGACAAAAAAGAGTGAGCATTATGAAACAGATTTAGGATAATAATATTTTTTTTTATTTCTATAAACATTGATTAAAATCTTAAAAACGCCAGAATGTAAAAATTAATTTTCTGTCAATAATTTTGAGCCTTTTAGAGTTCAAAATTATTGACAGAAAATTCCGTTTTATTTTCAGTATATTAAAATAGGTAATGGTTACACACGAATTTATTTCATTTTATTTCTTTACAAATTAGTTATTATTAGTTTTAACTAGTATAAAATAAACGCAATGATTATTTAGGTTAAAAAAAATTTGGACAGTGTTTCTTAACTTTTAAAAATTTTCGACGCCCGTATTTACAAACACTACTATGAGGTCTCACAGTGCGCGTAGACGCACAGGGTCACACACGAACCAATCACAGAGCTCTATTCAACGCTGTGCGTTCGATTTGCTGCTTCACTTAAGCATCGTTTGTGAATACGGGCGTGAGAAACACTAAAAATAATATATCATTCCAAAAGGCACCTAATAATATAGTGAAATTTGCTAGTATGTTCCTAAGGTGTATGCGAGTGTATAAATTGTTGATTTTTATATAAAAATAATGTATAAGCTATGTCGTGGCGCTAGTGTCAATGCAAGTTCTATGAAAAATTTAGTTCTGAAAAATTCCGCGTCGCTTCTTTTGGACGTGACACTTTAGCAAATTAATTTAAGAGCTATGTTGTTTGTATATAGTGTTTTTGTATATGGGTGTTGTGTATATCTATTGTAAATAAATATACAAAATAAAATTCGCTTCTATAAAAAGTTGTTTTATTTATAAATTAAAAATACGATTCTCTATATTTCTCTTAACCAAACTTTTTACAAAGTTACCTATTTCTAAATTGAAGATAATAAATTAAGCGACTGACTTTCTGTCAACATATACATTTATTTATCAATATCAATGTGTACATTATTTTAAATGACCTACCTTAAGATTTTTTGTAGTAAAATAGCTTCAATTATACCTAACCACAGAATATTATGCCTTAACGTGATACTTCTTTAATAAAATAGTCTATTGAACAAAATTAAATGTTTCTTCAAAAACTTAACACCATGCTAAGGTAATTTAATAATTTAATTAGTTATGTATATTTAAATCTCATCCTAATTCGAAAATTTCATTGGTTTGCATTTTTATTTTGCTTGATAAAATTCGTCCTCAATTATTTTATTATAATAGCGCCATCTATTGGGGAGTAGATGTACCAAAATGTTTTTTGGCGACACAAACTTAAAAAACCGTTTCATTTGATAAAGTGTGCTAATTTTGCTTAATGAAGTTAAAAAAAATCGGATCAGTCGCTTTATTATGAATTTAAATAACTATAAATGAAATATTGCCTATTATTATAGCCCAAATACTAAAGATAGTATCGGTCTCAGCACGAGATAGGCAAGATTTAGCACCAGCGCGAACGTCACCACCTTCAGTAGTTGGTGGAGGTAGAATAATCTGGAATAAAACATACAAATTATTATAAAAAAGTTTAATTTTTTTCATACTAAGGCTGAGTATGAAGGTGTACTTCATACTTTCGTTCGTTTCAGCCGAAAGACGTCCACTGCTGGACAAAGGCCTCCCCCAAGGATTTCCACAAAGACCGGTCCTGCGCCGCTCGCATGCAGGCACCTCCCGCGACCTTCACCAGATCGTCGGTCCACCTAGTGGGAGGCCTGCCCACGCTACGTCTTCCAGCTCGTGGTCGCCACTCAATAACTTTCCTTCCGGCCATCAGCTCTACGAGCTATGTGCCCCGCCCACTGCCATTTGATTTTAGCGATTCTGCGGGCTATGTCAGACACTGGTTCTCCTGCGGATCTCCTTATTGATTCGATCACGCAGGGAAACTCCGAGCATAGCACGCTCTATCGTCGCCCTATGGGTGAACTTGAGCCTTCTTATGAGGTCCATCTTACTTTACAGTAACCATTACATTAATCGGAGTTTTTGTATGGAGTTTGAAAGAATTTTGACGTTTGTTAAAGTTAAAGTAAGATGGTGCAACCCAGCCTAAACCTTTTTCACCTTAATAAATAAGTTCTTAAACTATACATATAGGTCTAGTTTGACTGAGTCAGTGCGAGTCTGAGAGGTACCTATTGAAGCGGCACGGGAAGTTGTTTTTGAGACGTCAACGTCAGCGAGACTTCCTGTGCTTTAGATTTGTATGGTATCACACACGAAAAACTTTCGAGTTCGAATCGTTTGCGTATTCGAATCGCCATCAAAAGATTTAGTACGCAAACTACAACAGCGCCCTTGTGAACGTGTGAAACGTGTCGTAAAGTTAACTTAGTATGAGAAACTTTAAAGGTAGCACGAAACTTATTTTGAGAATCGAAATTGTCACGTTATCGTTTAATTCGAAGGTTGAGTATCGAATTTTGTCGAATACGCAAACGATTCGAAGACGAAAGTTGTTCATGCTAGAGGTTCCACCTTCGGCCTGATCGTCACTTACCATCAGGTGAGATTCAGGCCAAGAGCTTCCTCGTTGTGGATGAAAAAAAAAGGTAATGTCCCACCTCCCGTGCCACTCCCATACCTCAGGCATTTACTCAGTTTTGCGCTAGATCTATGAAATTTAAACATTACCTGTTCCACTTCTTCCTGGCCTCAGGCAGCGTTGAGAGGTCGTCTTTAATCAGGTACACTCTTAGACCTGGAAAAAGAGTCATTGTTTAAGAAAATAAAACACTGCGTTCACCACGGGACTATTCCCACCGCTCATTTCCACTGCTGCAACTCCTGTGTAGCCAGGATCTACAGCTTGACCGCCAATAACCCAACCAGTGAAGGCCAAGTAACATGACTAAAATGACGATTTTAGCCGCAGTGAGCGCTGTGATCGTTTAGGCTACTCCCTCCACTGGCTTTGCACCCTGCCAAATATTATTGATCGAAGCAATAAAAGGAGGAATCCGAAGTTAAGGTCACTTCGTTCGTTTCAGCCGAAAGACGTCCACTGCTGAACAAAGGCCTCCCCCAAGGATTTCCACGAAGACCGGTCCTGCACCGCTCGCATCCAGGCGCCTCCCGCGAACTTCACCAGATCGTCGGTCCACCTAGTGGGAGGCCTGCCCACGCTACGTCTTCCGGCTCGTGGTCGCCACTCAAGAACTTTCCTGCCCCAACGGCCGTCAGCTCTACGAGCTATGTGCCCCGCCCACTGCCACTTGATTTTAGCGATTCTGCGGGCTATAATATTATGTCAGTCACTCTGGTTCTCCTACGGATATCCTCATTTCTGATTCGATCACGCAGGTCACTTACCAATCAAAAATGTCTCGCAAAGTCTGTCCCAGCTCATGTCTCCCATGCTGAATGGGAACACAGCTCGATCGGCTTCAGAGAGCGACGCCCACATAGCCCGCACGCCGCGGTCTGAGAACCGCCAGTCGCGGGTCGAAAAGTAGAAGAGGATGTTCGCCATCTTCATCACCTTGGAGTAGAGTTTCAGCATTCTGGAACGAGAATGAACAGCTTCATGTGGTTATTAGATCAGCCAAATGTCAAGATAACTTATTTTTTGTTTAGTTAGGGCCTTCACCCACGGCGCATCGCTACTAACGCGTGAGTCGCATTTGCAACGCACTACAGACAGGCCTGGCTCACTCCGCGCGGTACATCCGATAATTACCTACAGCGAAGCGCCCCGCCGGCGGGTATTATATCAGTCGAGTGTCACGCGCGCGCCCGTCAGGACGCTGGCGTGCGTTGTAGTACCTAATTCTATGATCGAAGTATTATTTAAAAATGGACATAAAGAGAAAGAAATATTATTGTGCGGCGTTCGGGTGTTTAAATTCGAAAAGAAATCTACCGGATTTATCTTTTTTTTTCGCTTCCCAAAGATGCTGAAAGGTATGTTGGCCATGTAGGTAATCAATAATTCTTAGGATAGTATAGGAACCTAACCTACCATGACTACTGCTCAGAATGCGTTCGTTCGTTTCAGCCAAATGACGTCCACTGCTGGACAAAGGCCTCTCCCAAGGTTTTCCATAATTAATGCGTACTTTACCTACTATCGTACCTCATTAAAAATAAGTAGATTAATTATTTTTTTACTAGACACTACTAGACAGCAACCCTAACAGCGTAAGAAGAGTTCAGAGGCACGCGATAGAAAGAGACAAAACTTGTAGGTGAATAAAATTGTAAGTACGTAGTGCTGTGCGAGATGAATTCCACTGTATCGCGTCGTAGCAAGACTCGCATTTATTTAAATCGTCTTGCGGAGTGTACTATTACTTATTCTGTGCTACAGATTCAGAAGCGATACCAACGCGCTACAGCAGCGCGACTGCATCGCTACAAAAAGTTGCCGTGGGCGAGGGCCCTTATACTTAGTTCTTGCAACTCACGAAGGCGAGTGAGCGTTACTTGTGTACGTGTACTTACATGCACATAACGATTTTTATTGGTTATGTTACCTATATTTATTGTGCCCCATCGGCTGACGTACGAGACCAACTCAACAGGGCCGTCTTTAACCTAACTGGGGCCCTGAGCACTTAAGGCTCAACGGGGTTGTATTTCCCAAAAATAGGGAAATTGAATAATTATAAAACTTTTCAGCCATTACCTTTATCTGTGTAGGTATACTTGTGAACCTTACTGATCTTACTGGCACAGAGTTAGGCGGTAATCACACTGCGCCGCGCTCCGCCGCGGAGCGCGGGGCGACAGATTTAATCATTGTATGCAAGTACTTCAGTTTGTATAGAAAACACGCGCGGCACTTCACACTGACAACGCGTCCGCGCGCGTGATTTTTTATATGAAAATCACGCGCTCCGCGGCGGAGCGCGGCGCAGTGTGATAACCGCCTTACGCCCCCTTGCCCTAAAAATGTACGATGATCAACTGCACAAATCACTCCTCTTATAACTATCCAAGGTGCTACTGTGTCAAGCTATAGATGTACCCTCACAAAATATTGTCAACTTGCCCGTCCTTTTGTGAGCAGTGTTCAAAGTTTTTAATTTGTTATTATTATTCTAATAATAGGGATGTTTCCT